CCGCCGTATCGCCGCGACACCAGCTCCGCCCTCCTCATATTCCAGCTGATTTCAATGTCAATAAATCTTGCTAAAGGAAATTCATAATTGTGAAACAAACTTAATATAACTTTAGCAAATAATAACTTGAGTTCAGCTTCAGCCATCTTTGTATCCATAATGTGCTTTGATTGCATGATATTTCTGAATAAAAATATCAGTTAATCATGTCTGAGATTTGTCACCTTTTTACGGAAGGCAGATTGCACAGGATGGTGGATTGAAGGAGGTATAGTTTATAATGTATGTACCAAAGTCACTGTCAAACATTTAGCATCAACATTTAATAAAGAAATTGGGTGATACCGTGCAGAATCAGTAGAATCTTTACCAGCCTTCAACATCACAGTTATATAGGCCTCCTTAAATGAAATTGGGGGGGAAAATATTCAAAAAGGTATCATTGCAGACCCCCAATAATATAGAGGCAACTTTATTTTCTATTTTTTATTCTTTTTCCTTGAAACACGTGCAATAATATGGCCGCAAATATATCCCTTAATAGCATTCCAAACAACTATAAAACTAGTTTTTTAGGGGGGAAAGCCTTCAAAATCATGATTTATAAAAAGTGAATCTTTCAATAATGATATATTTAAATATCATCTTAAGAAAGTTTTTCTTATAATTGATAATGTAACAGGAGCCCTGGTTTTCTTCTTATATCCATTTCACATATAGATAAGATGTTAAAAAAACAGCTAAGGCAGGATCAAGTCTGATGTGGGTTTGAAAGAAAAGTACATTCTTGCTGCATAACATCCAACAAATTAACCCTAGCACACAAGCTTGTAGTGCTGGATAGCAAATTGATTTATACAACAGAAAAACTGCATGAAGGGAGAAGCACTAAGGTTGGAAATACAACTTTTGTAAGAAAATATTATTGAGACTGGTGCTTATGTGAAAGAAAAATATGGGTAAACGTTATTTAGAAAATAATATGGTAATAACTATCTACAGATAAGATCTTGAAGGGTGCTTTAAAGTCCCTTTGCCAACTCACTCTACATCTGTTGTCCTAATGGTCAATACATTTATAGGAGCAGAAAACCAATTCATGCAAAGTTGAATTTCAGTATGCACACTTTCTATGTGCAAGAGTTTAATTTAGCTTAACTAATATGATCTGACAACAGATCCAAAATTTAACTAATATCTCCAACCATAATTATCTGAACCATATCTAAGCTAAAAACGTGTTCAAAACTTCTATTTAAACTCTCTGGTCTTCAATGAGGCCACAGGAATTAATGAATGCAAGGTATGTAGGATCTGTTGGGAATGCCTTACTACATCTTTCCCCATGTCAGCTGCAGAGGGTAGCCTTGCAAATCCAGGAAAAGACGCAGTTGCTTTGAGACATTCTTGTTAGGTTCCCTATATGTTCTTGTGTCCTCCAAATCATTTTGCCCTTAGATCTCTACACAACCCTTTAATAATAATACACACAGGGAAAAACCAAATGATAGAAAGATATGTTCCAGAAAGATCTGGAAGAGCAAAACAACCAAACATACCTGAAACCAACAAAACACTAACAAAGGCTCAGTATCCACCCAAACCCCAGGCCTGGGAGCAGAACTACACATGTAACAACTTCTGGAAGCTGTAGTGGGAACCATACAAATCTCCGCTGAGGATGCTGTTCCAGAGGGCAAGCACCATAACAAAGAATACATACTGCCTAGGTCTCATTGTATCATTGAAGGGGCCTGGAGCATGCTCAATCTCACTGGAAGAGCAGAAACTATTGACAACCCCTCAAATAACCAGGCCCTATGTCAAGGATCCTTGACTTATAAATCATTCTGTAGCATCTACCCTGGGATTATAAATGCTCATTAAGGATGTGCAGTTATTTGGATCTGATGCTGAAAAAGTGCTTTGGAGCAGGCAGGAGCACACAAACTGCATCTTCAACATCTTCTTAAAGAAGTTGGGTTCCTGGACTCACACAGTACCAGCATAATCCCTGGAGAATGCATGTTATTGTAGTGGCAGGCAATGCTTGGAGCTCTAGTTCAGCTCTAGGATGTGTCATTCAGTATTACTGATCTCTTTTAGTCCTTCCATGTATTTTTAAAGATAAACAGGAAATAAACTACTTCAGAATCTTCCTATCTTCCTTTCATAATCCAGAAGGGAAAGTCCTATCTGAGGTCTCTAGGATCATCTTCCCAGATTATTGGTGACCATTTGTAGCAAAAAGTGCTCCAAATTAATTTGTATTAATACTTACTTTGGTAGCACTCTATGAACATGGCTTCAAAATGGATAAATATTGCCCATCTGTTTTACTAACATGCCCCTTCTCTCCCCTTTCTCTCTTTTCTTCTTTTCCTTTCCTTTTTGAAAACCCAGCGGAGGAAGTGGAGAGACTGGCTGCAATGCGTTCAGACTCATTGGTTCCAGGGACACACACCCCTCCCATCAGGAGGAGAAGTAAGTTTGCCACTCTAGGAAGAATTTTCAAACCATGGAAATGGAGGAAGAAGAAGAGTGAAAAGTTCAAGCACACATCAGCAGGTAAATTGCAAACATCTTTTCAGCAGTGGATTGGATTAATATTTGTTTTCCAGAAAGTGGAAATAAATTGCTATTGTATAAGGATTACAAGCACCCCAAACTGTAAAGACATATCCACATTGGAACTTTATGGAACTTTAGTGGTCTCCTGTTCTCACTTGAGAGTATAGCATATATGTATGTTTTTGTGGTAGTGAGGAAGATAATAGCTCTCATGTCCAGAATTTTGAGAGAGAGAGAGATAATGTGTCATCAAATTGGTGTTGACTGTTAGCGACTACATAGATAGATTTTCTCCATGATAATATGTCCCTAACCTGGTCCTTCAGGTCTTCCAACAGTGCACCCATTGCCACTGTAACTGAGTCCATCCACTTTGATCCTCGTCTTCCTTTTCTTCCTTTCCTTCCACCATTCCCAGCATCAGAGCTTTCTCCAGAGAATTCAGTCTTTACATAATGTGTCCAAAGTATGATCATTTGAGGCTGGTCATTTGTGCCTGGAGTAAGGACTCTGGGTTGATCCAGAATTTTGGAAACAGGGTAAAGCAAGGGTTTGGTGCCCACTGTATAGATAAACAGGGAAAATATTTTTTATTCAATTGTAAAACTATCTGGGGGGACGCGGTGGCGCAGCGGCTTAATGATGCTGAAAGTTGCCGGCCAGAAATGGTCAACGCTTCGGCGGTTCGAGTCCAGCCTTCACGTTAGCAGGGTGAGCTCCCGGTTCCTCCCCAGTTCCTGTAAACCCAAAACTTCGAAAACTT